ATTTATAAAATATATACATGAAATATGTATATTTTATTTATAAAATAAGAGGTTCATCTACTTCTTTTCATGTCACTTCCACTTCTTAAAGATTCTTCTTGTTTTCCAACACAACCCCTAGCTGCCACATATACCAGAAAACTCAAATATAAGGTTTCATCTGAAAACCATAATAATGCTACCCTAAGTAAAAAAAAAAAAAAAATCCTGTTAGTATTCCTTTTATTTTTTTAATTTAAAGCCTATAGTTTTGCCTCAAATTCTTGTCCCTTTTTACAATAGTAACTGTTACTTGGTGTTACATGCATGATAATAAAAATAAAATGTTTCCAAATTAAAATATCTAACAACCTATTAAAAAAGAGAGAAAAGACCTTCATATAGTAGAAATGAAGCCACAAAGAACTTAATTCTTTTTTCTACACATTCTTGAACACACCTGAGTAACAGGTTAGATAACACTGAATGAAAAAGCTTAAAATCATGGCTTGAGGACCATAGCAAATGCTTCACTTTATACTGGAGACTTTGTACTTTATTTTTCTTATATTCAGTCACTACAACCAAATGGGAATGGCAACACAGAGGAAACTAAACAGAAAAGCTGGAGTCAAATGCCCACATACAACAGCAATCCTTAGTACTGGTTGGACAGTACTGCTAACACTGCCATCAGTAACGATGGAAAAAGCAAACCAAGACTCGACAAAGTTTAGTGGATTGAGTAAGTAACATAAGGACAAATAATTTTAAAATTTAGAGCAAAAGGTTCAACATGTGCATGGAGTTGTAGAGAAGCTGCTTGTAGTCACAAGCTAACACGCTACCTTTTAAAGAAACTGCTTTTCCAATAAGTGGGTTTACTAACATATGCCAAGATACCATCCTGGGGTCAAATAAAAAGATTTAAAAGGAAAGCTCTTGAGAAGAAAGCCACTCTTATTTGAATGATTGCTTTCTCAAGTGGCTTAGACTTGTTTTGGCAGATTTTCAAGCTAATTGTACATGTCCTCTCCTAATACCTAAGGACAGTAAGAGGGGAAAATAAACAAATCAAAAAATGCTTTTGCATTAACCTGTTTTCTTCATCCACATTCTGACTTTCATAAGCATCCACCTATGCACAATGGTGAACAGACAGGAGCTTCTTTGCTTGCAGTCAAAGCTGGCAAAACAGTAGTCAGCTTGGGAAAATAAACTGTACGCTAGTCTGACGCTGTGCCAAAACTAAGAACCAGCTAAGATGCAGAATATGTCAGGCAGTGAGTGACAAATACTACAGTAATATGGACATAATCTCAACCATTCAAAGCTAGTCAGAGTGAACTCAGATCCGCCTACCCCTCTTTGTACAATTGTATCCTGGAACACACCTTTTAACATGAATGACATTGAACATTTTGTTTAAGATCAAATTAGATATAATTACAAGAACAATTTGTTACTGTGTATTAACAAGTTTGATTTAAGGTACTATGGAGCTGAGCTAACTGTATTGTAACTTAACTACTAGATTAAACAGCTAGAGTTAACAGTGTGAAATCTGCTGCACACCAATGTATTTGTTACCTACTAAGAATTTCCCCAAAACAGCTGTTGTCTTTTACTTTTCAAGATGGGTGAAACTAGTTGCAACTTTACACTATCTTGCACATCCTGATCTCAGTACAGGTTATTTTGAATACAACTGTTAATGCCATATCTTAGAAAATAGGTTTCTCCATATTTATATGCAAAAAGCTGGAGGCATAAAAAAGTTAAAGCTAAGTTTCCAGGTCTTAGTCTGGCCTGAAGTCACAACTTTCCTGAGAGCTATGGAGGGAGACTCCTGCATCCAGAGGACCTACTGACTTCACTGCAGGATGACCCGCACAGTATACAAAGTCTGTGGCAAAACCAAGAAAACATGCCACTACTTTTACACCACAGAAACAGCCAACTAGAACTAGGCAAAATGTCTGAATGGAATTGTTAACAGTCTAGTCATGAGATACGCTTTTTCATTATAAAGAAATGGAAGAGTAATTTTTTAATCATATAAGTTATGAAACTGTACGTCTTAAAAATACAATCCTTACCCTTGAATTTTTGAACTACTAAATTATCTCAAAATCTATTTGATTTAAAGAGTTCTAACAAAATGAAAATATGGGACTGTACACAATGGTTGTATTTTACAACTCTAACCAAACCATTACAGTATGATTTGTACAACAGCTAAAACACATTAACATTTAAGTAAATGCAAAACCTTTAATAACATTCAAGTTCATACACAATCACAAAAACTGAGTAAAGGAACAGAAATTAGTCTGTGTTTGAAACAGTAAGTGTACTTCTTGACTTGGGTATGTAACACTAAAAATAAAAACCAAAACCTGTATATTATGGCACAATTAAAAACTGTACTCTTCATTGGTGTCTGCTTAAGGAATTTACCATTTTCCACATGTCCACAACCCACACCGTACAAATGCATAAAATACTGGCAATTCAAAGTTTATTAACTTAAGGCAAATTGATACATCTGCATTGCATATTAAATTGTAAGTTACAGGTGACATGTACTTCTATTAAAAAAAATTAATTCGTGAAAAAATTTAACTCAAAATTATATCTTTTCAACTGAAGTGTTTTTTTTTTAATACGTACACTTGGTATTCTGTCACTCTAGGGTATTTCATCAGGGCTGAAGTAGTAAAAGTTTTAGGCATTACGTGGACAAGTGCTGCCATCTAGTGGTGTAACAGATTTAAGCATCACCAATGCAGCTATATATAAACAACACCCAGTTACCCATCCGAGCTCCATTGACGCTAAAAGATGTCATCAATCTGCAGGAGCGTACAGGCGAAAAAAAACCCAACATTAATCTAACCAAGTCGCATGATTGATGCAGTCTATTTCCATGCTCAAAGCTAAATGGCGTTTTATACAAGCAAACGGTAAAATGATATCACTAGGATCACAAGTGTCAAGTCATGCATGTACTTAAGAGGTTGCAGAATAACCTCATTCAGCTGAACTCCTGCAGTTTCAAATTATGCAGTCCACATGTGACTATCTAAATATTCATTTTCTAAATTCATAATATGACTTTTCTTAAGATTAGGAAGGATATCTTTACATAACAAGGCATTTTTAACACTATCAGGTCCAACTATGTTCAATTTAAAAAATAATTTTAAGGCTGAGCTGAAAATCAAGTTTTCTTGAGAAGGACATTTCTTGAGAAGGACATTTCCTGATGCCAAAAACATTATTACAAATTGGGGTACATTATGACAAATTGGGATAGCAGCTGTTTTCTACTGCTTATCATTTTGAATTCTGTGCTAAAAATAGATTCTTAATGAAAGAACTTCCTTGAAAAAAATCTGTAACCATTAGTGTAACTTCTGTGCAGTCCCGTGATGTAATGGCTAGTCACACTAGCCAAGCAAACAGAAATAAAACTAAAGCAAAACAAAACAAAAAACCCAAACAAAACCCAATTGTTCAAGTTTGTAGTGTTTTAGCTTTTCCTCAGTTTCCTCAAGAGAGGTAAGGTTCGGAATTTTCAAGTCTCCAGACCAAGATATCTGACTACAGGAGAACATAAGAATTTAAGGACTGAATGTTGAACCTGACCTTCAGAACTATTTTGCTTAGATGCACATGGAATTCAAAAGCTGGGTCCAGGTGTTATAGAGTGAAAAAAACCCACTGAGGCTTAGATTAAGTAGGCTCAGGCAACCAAAATGACAAAATACCAGTTGAAGGTTTCAGCTGGAAAAGGAAGTATTGACATTTGTCCATTTGAAGTTTTGTTTGTTTGCTTGGTTGTTTTCTTTTTAAGCATACATTGATCCTTACCTGCATTTCAAGAAGCTGGAATTCCAATTGAAAAGACAGGGAGTGGCAATTCCCTGATAATCTGTGCTTCCGCACTGTTCTGTTTCTTGCTGTTATAAAATAAAGTTAACAAAATACTTGATTGTAATTCTATTCAACAATTACTACATTTCTTCCATTAGTCATATTTAAAGTACCAACTGATACCATCCATCATATAAATAAGTTAAACATGTTAAAAAAAAACCCACACAACTAACTTCACTGTAGTCCTTCACTTTCGCCACTACGCAAAGTACTATATTTACTCAGAAACTATTTTGTCAATAAAGAAAATTCTGTTGTATTTTAGAAGAACTGTCTTTCTGCTAGCATTGAAAGTAGAATTACAACATGCATTTGCAAATGTAATGAACTGAAACAGTATGCTCAGTATAGCACAAGTAAAGGGCACAAAAATGCTTACTTTTTTCCATCGTTTTCTTGGAATGATTTGTGAATTGAATACCAGTAAATTTCATTAAAAAGGAGAGATCCGTTTCTAGACTTTCAAGTTGAGCTTTCAGGTCTGATGGAGATTCACATCCCTTAGATTCTGCCTTAAATTCTCTTTGGAATGATTTTCTAGAATTGAAAAAGAAAAAAAAATAAAATCAAAAGGGCAAAAGACAGACAGAAGAACATGTTTTGTCACATCAGTACAGCAATACCATTAAATAAAAAGCATTTGTAATGTGATCTGATGATTTTCAGACCAAGATCAGTTTTCAATGAGTTAAATTTCAGTTGGATCATATTCCTAGGAAGAGTAAACTATTATAACTTACACAAATACTTTATGTTCACTGCCAGGTAGACACAGCCTTTATTATAAGTCTTCAGATGTCAGTATCCATTTTGAGGAATGTACAACAAAAATGAGCTGCGATGCCTTTACTCTTCTAAATGACTTATTTTATCTATGGAGTGTACATTTACTATAGAACATCAGATAAATAATGGAAATAAAAAGCCCTAACATGGCACTTCTTCACTTCTTTAGCATATAACTAGTCACACCTGTACATGTTCCCAGTCTTTTTTTTTTTTTTTTTTTTTTTTAAAGTAAACAGGTACTGAGCTGTTTCACAGCGCATAATGGAAAACACAGCTTTTATAGTCAACAACTTTGCAGGGCCTGCCAGTAATGTACCTGATATCATGCTCTGACCATTATGACTACCTTTTTAAAAAAAAAAAAAAAAAAAAAAAAAAAGGCAAACAAAAACATCCTAAAAATAAAAAACCCACAAACTACCAACAGAAGGCAGTAAAAAAGAGATTAACTGGTTATTATTTGTAATCTTTTACCATATATAGCCGATGTTCTAAACAAGATCAGCACTGTAAAAATAACATAAGGAAAGTCCTAACATAGAGGCAAAAGCTTATCCTGAACAATTCTGACAAAGAAACACTATTAATCCAACACATGAAAAAAAACATACAGTGACATTAGTATCTCCTCGTCAGAAAAAAAGGTGGATTCTTGTTGGCTGTCTTCATACTTTTCAGCCAATAGTTTAATTTCTTCTTCCAGCGACTGGATTTTGTCTTCATAAACTTGACAAATGCTGTTGTCCATTTCTCAGAACCAACGTTACTAGATAAAACAAAGTAAGTATATTTCTTAGGCCAAATAATAAAAAAATCCATTTTCAAAATAAATTATTTTTATCCAAGGAATTAGTTTACAAAATGCAACTATAACATTAGGCAATTTTTTGTACTACCCCTCTACTTAAAATGAGACAGTTTATTATATTTTATGGCTTTTGAAAACTGAAGAATTGGTACATACAATTTTTAAATATCCCAGGTAGCTTTGACAAGTATAATAATTTATACCTCCATAAAGAATTCTAGACTGTCAAACACTCCTGTTTGCTATGGAAGATTAAACTAACATATAAACCTTGATCCTCAGCAACCAAATTTGACAGGCATTCTGCCACCAACCTGAAAACAGAATTAGGCTTGCAGTAAAACTATACTACAGTACTCTGTCATCAGTGTAACTCCTACTTAAATCCTAGAAAGTCCACTTTGAAAGACACTGGTCTGCAAGTAGACATTACAAGAGTAGACAAGCCACTTTTTCCATAATTCTGTATGGAACAAAGCTTCCTGAGAAACATGGTAACTCACTCTGCTAAAAGCATCATGAACAGAAAAGATTCTACTTCCAGTGAATACAGAAAGCTACTAGATATCCACAAGAATGTGACAAAGAACAAATTTCTGACTTTACACAAAAGAAAAAAGAAAAGAAGTTTTCTCCAAAATAGATAACAATTTTGAAAAGAATCTTGTTTTGTTGCAGTAGTTCCTCAAAGACTTCATTCACTGAGTGCAAATGTAATTATTAAACCAATTTTAAGACACAGATCACTGCATAGCCTCCAAATACAGAAGTTAAATCAGGAATCTAATTTATTCAAAGGCTTGCTTTACAAATCTTTTTAGCTAATCATGATTTCATCCAGGAGCATATCCAGCTGCTTTACACTTGCTGTAATAGAACAAGAAGCTGTTCTGCAGATAGAAAGCAATCCTAATCAGATACCGAAACTGAATCCAGCTTTAACAAATTCACCTAAAAATCCACCTGATTAAATGAAACACAGCTATTCCTACTAATACCATAGCATAATCTGCCTTTCAAGTAAGCCGCAGTAAAAAGACACAAAGAAACAACCATGTTTCACAAATAATTCAAAATAAACAAACATCAGGTTTAAGAAAAAAATATTTGACATTCAGCCTAGACATGACACATTCAAAGGACTGTGGAGAATGTTATGCAGCTCAATACCGACATATTAATTACTTTTGACTAGGAAAAAAAACCATAAATCTAGTTTTATGTGTGCTTTTAAACAACCCGTACTGTATTTGCAAGATCCACACTAACATGGTTCAATAAAAAGGGATGAGGAGGAAATAGGATTTTGTTGGTTTATTTCCTAAGAAACAGCATTTGAATAACACATATAAGAAAACATTCAAAACATGTTCTGCATTAAAAACTTATTTAGTGAATAAAGAAAGTACGTTCAGTTAAAGAATCACTGAGATTGTGCCCAGTCCTGACTTCTTCTGGATTTTAAAGCAATCTTATGCAATGTATGACAACAAAGAAGATCAGTGGGGAAAAGAAATAGAAGTTCTCCAACTTTTAATGGATCCTATTAGATTTTTTTTTTTTAACTGGATACATTGAAGAAAGTTTTGGTCATAATAAAGAGTATGTTGGGAAAAACATTACAATAGCCAGAACTTTACCCTAGGTTGTCAGCTAATTCCTCTTTTAACAACTGGCTGTTGCGAAAACAGTAACAGAACACATACGCTGCTTACAGCTATTTCAACTCAAATGATTTTACTAGACTGCAGAAGACTCAAAGACTAGCGATAACTTTAAAGAGCGTTATCTCAGAAAAAAATACCCGAACATACTTTTAATTAAATAAAACATAAATTTAACGACAGTCAATCATTTCTCCTCACCCTAAGCGCGCACACACACGTATATTTGTCCATTAACGGTAAATATTTCACATTTCTACGTACCTACCCGTATACACCCCTAAGCGTTTGCTTTTATGCTGCCGCAGCAAGACCTGGGAAGAGCACTCACGGGTTTGTGAGAAACGAGCTGGTGGGGTTCTGCGTTTCGCTGCTTGGCTTCTAGCCTTCAAATCTGACGAGGTAAGGGCCGGGCAACACGACTCGCCAGACGAACCGGCGCTGTCCCAGTTCCCCCCCCGAGGCGGGCTGAGGCCCGCAGGTGCCGGAG